ATGCGACCCGATAGCAATTCTTCCACGGCCCGGTAGTGGGTCGCGACCCGGTGGTTGGGGACCTCTGGTATAGTGTATAATGTTATAAAAGCTTTTTATTTCAGATAAATTTAATTTAAAGAACGAAAGAAAAGAAAATCCCTCACTGATCTTGACTGAATCACTTTTGTAACCTCGATGAAAAACCACAAACATGACAGGTATAATTAAAATAGGCACTATCAGCGCACATTTCAGTGCAATATTTTTTTGCAGATTTTTTATACCGTGTATACAATATAATTATGTTTAATTAAGCTGATATATAGCACTATAAATTCTTAATTAATTTACAACAAAACTAAAATTTTGTTGCAAACGGCTGAAGACATTATAGTACTATATCTCAGCTCGCCCCTCAACATGCACGCGTTCGGAGATTCGGCAGCCCAACACTGAATATTATTTTGTGGGCGTTGTATTTTGATTAATAAAATAAAAATTACAATACAAAAATTAAATCTAAATTACCATGCTTCTAAATAAATAAAGCAGTTATTTTTATTTAGTTCTGAATATTATTTTGTGGGCATTGTATTTTGATTAATAAAATCAAAATAATAAAAATTACAATACAAAAATTAAATTTAAATTACCCTGCTTCTAAATAAATAAAGCAGTTTTTTATTTTGTTAAAAACGGGCCAAAAGAGACCTACGAACTAGTAGGCTACCAGAAAGAAAGAAAAAAAAAACCTTAACGTTTTTGCTCAGAATTCGTTTTTAATCCCTACATGATTTTAGTCATACATGATAAATATCAAATATGTTATAGCTTGACTACAAGTTTAAAAACAACGCTGCAATTGTTATAATTAAGGAAATTAAACTTACCATCATGAAATGTACGTAGACGATATTATCGGATATCACGATATTTTTAAAGGCGATTATCGATAAGATATGTTTGACATATCGCCCAGCCCTAGATACATATTGATATTGAATTATTGTCCAGCCCTACTTGTGCCTGATGCAAATAATAAATCATCTTAAAGGGGTCATATGATGCGATTTCAATTTTTCCTTTCTCTTTGGAGTGTTACAAGTTCTTGGTGCATAAACGAGATCTGTAAAGTTGCAAAGACTAAAGTCTCAAATCCAAAGAGATATTCTTTATAAAAGTTAAGAGTCAGCCACGCC